ATCCAAGTGAGAATATATACATTTTAAGACCTAACCAGGAACGACTGCGAAAAATGCAGCACAAGGTCCTCTGGTAGGAATTGAACCTACGGCCCTACGATTCCGGTGCAGCGCTCTAACCAACTGAGCTACAGAAGCCAGCTGTTGAGCTGTAACCGTAAGTTCATGTATATATAGTATAAACATGAACTTATGGTTACAGCTCAACAGCTGGCCTCTATATAGCTCAGTTGGTTAGAGCGCTGCACCGGAATCGTAGGGCCGTAGGTTCAATTCCTACCAGAGGACCTTGTGCTGCATTTTTCGCAGTCGTTCCTGGTTAGGTCTTAAAATGTATATGTTCTCACTTGGATTACAAACCCTAACATTCTAATATTAACAGCTAACCTTTTTGTGTGCTTCTTAAGTTCCAGATTACTGGGATAGCACACTGTTTGAGTGTATATTTCACAAGATCAATCTGTCCACCAGCAGTAAAGAATATCAGGAGGTTGAAACTGCATTCCACACCACTGCTCCGAATCAAATTGTTCGCATCGAGAGAATACAAAACCGAGAAATCTACGAGATATACGAGGTGAAACGACAAGCAATGATGAAAAAATATGGCGGCAACTTTGCCGAAAAAGAATTGCGGCTGTTTCATGGCACTTCTGTAGAAAATATTGAGAAAATTAATGCTGGTGGATTGAACAGAAGCTATGCAGGAATGCGCGGTAATGTTTGTTTGTTTTTGGTTGTTCTTGTTAATGCTATTATTGTTGTTGGAGTCGGTATCTTTAGTTGTTGACATATACAAATGTTGGAATATTGGTATTGTTGCTGATATTCACGTTGGAATATTGGTATTGTTGTTGATATTGTTGCTGTGGTTGTTGTATACATTATAGTATTGTTCTGGATAAGGGACCGATCATTATTTATGGTGGGGGGTGGCACCGAAGAGAAATGTTTTTCGTGGCAAAAATTTTGCTGACCCAACCGTTAAAAAATCAAAAATTTGATTACCCAACCTCAAGTATCATTTAAAAAATAAATACCCACCCCTGGCCAAAAACATTTCAAAGGATGTCATTCAGTTGTCACACATGTCCTTTACTAGTCTCCCTCGCAGACGTTCTTACTAGTCCTTTACCACTTCTGTGATACGTTTGATAACGTTCGGATTGTGAATGTTTGTTAGTTTGATAACGTTCGGCTTGTGAAATTTACTGACTTTTCTGCAGTCTAAAGTTTCATGTTGTCTGCACATTTACTTTCTTTGGAAACACCATTTGTCTCCCAACAAATCGGAAAATGATGAAGATAGTGTCATAGTGACTCTGATTGATTCACATATTGTATTGACATATGACTGTTGGCATTGAAGTTTTCAGTCTTCAATATTTGAGTGAGTCATGCTTTGGAAATGACAATAAATTTTTATTACCCAACCTTTGAGTTGTTTCGTTTTTCATTTACCCAACCTTTTACTCACTCAAAATTTTATTTACCCAACCCTTTTCTCTTCGGTGCCACCCCCC